CCTTCCTTCTTTCCTTAGGCGATTTTCTGAGAGAGAGAGAGAGAGAGAGAGGTGGACACGGCTTTATGAGGAAGAAACAGGAGAGTACACGTTATTGTAGTCACTTAGCTGCGTATGTGGCCTTAGGGGAAGTAATAAAACACTAGTCGTTGATGAAGCAGTAACGGAAATTAGTGACGTACCATAAATACTAAGAAGGAAGAGTAGCATAAATGGCGCCCATTCATAAGTATCTAAAGGTGACTGACATCTCAGCCGTACCAGACTTTCCTTTTTTGATTTTTATCTGTTAGACACTTGTTAATTGGTTACTGATTATCTGTCCATGCTGCAGATTAAGTAAAATATACTGCTTTCATTTGAGCCTGAATTTTCTTTAGTAAAGGAAAATGTATTGAGCGTGTTAGTGGTTCTTTCAGTACAGATTGCCATTATAAGATTTATTTCTCTGCTGCCATAGCGTAGTTTTTCAGCAGCATAGATACGCATGTAATATGTCGTTGCAGGCATTTATATAACGACGATGAAAAGATGTGTCATAGATCTGTCTTTGATTTGTCATGAGTTGAACATCTCAGTATCATATAAAGAATCTTACTGTAAAAGGGTACTTTTCTTACTAGGTACCTCGAGTAGAAACACAAATGTCGGGAAAACATGGCTGGAATAAGTTTTAATTAGCTAATAAAATAGCTGAATTGTTAAGTCAAAACCAAGATGGTTTTCCCAGAGCGCGTTTTAAAATATTAATTTACGATATCAGAGTACGTGCATTCAAAAAGGCATCTGCTTTTTGAAGGTAATAAAGAATGCTGTATGATACTTAACATTTTCTAGTAGCTGAAAGTGAGCGAACTCGCCTGAATGTGATAATAAGCACGGTAATTTCATCAACGGCAAATCGTTTGAACAATATGATTACGCATGCATCTCCGAAGATTGTCTTAAGGTCTTAATTTCCTTCACTTCTAGAGGTCATTTCCATTCTACGTTTCAGGCCGGTAGAGGTATTATTTTCGAGAAGGCAAACTTGTCTGTTCTGGTCGATTTTGCAAGGATTGATGAAAGGAACTGGGTCTGCCTTTTAGTCACTGTCATCATAATTGAGGTAAACGCAAACCCACCACCCATTACGACGTTAGCCAACAACAATGATCTACAACATATAGCAAATATTAATATATTGTAGATTGTTTAAGCAATTCAAGTAAAACTTTTCACTGAATCAGGAGTAGTAGGACAGCTACGCGAAGAAGGACTCATGAGACGGAATTAGCTAGTCGTCGAAACGTTAGCAGCATATTCTGGCATGACCACACTATTTTCGTTCCTCCTATTTATAAACTTGTTACAGTAACCAAAACGAAATTGATTGAGTAAATTCTTTTGTGGAAGGGATATATCACTGGCTTGCAGCAATTCTTCTTTGTCCCAAGCTTGTAGGGGTTTCGAAAATTCTCTGCTTCTATTCTGACACATTGAAGTATTGTATCTTATACTGCAGTTACAGTAGGTGACTGACAACTTTATATTTGAATGTTCAGATTTCAGCCCGTAAATGACCACGGTGGTAGCATCCGGACAACACTTATGCTGCCGTTGAATATTCACAGTGCTATTTGAAAATGAAGGGAATTTCCAACGTTGAAGGTATCGGCAGTATTCTTGGTGGGCCAAGTTCATGGCAGGCGGTTCTATGGTCGGGGTGAAGATTTTGATTTGTTATGGACAGCTGTAGGGTCCCAAAGCAACGGCGAAGCGTACTGTTACAACGATGATCTTACTGCGACTTTTCATGTCAGTATATTTATCACTGTCAACATTATTCTGCGAGTAGCAGATGTAGCTGACTGGCAAGCACAAATATCTTCAACCTCGTTTGTGACGTGTTGTTTATTAAGTCTTCATGTTTATTTTGACGCGTGTTTTGTCCGTTTTCCGAGTTTTCTGCCTCGTTTTCTGTTTCGCTGGTAGCGGTGACTGATTATATGATGGCTTGTTTCAGGTGTTAGGAGTTTTCAGTTGTGAAAACATCAGTGACGAAGGCGTTGTTGCTCTGGCAAATCTTTGCAAATCTCTTCACCATCTGGACATTCGATGGTGTTACAAGCTGACCAGTGCCGCTTTCGAAGCTCTCAACAATGCATCGGAGGTTTTGTGCAAACGTTTGGCTGTTGTTTGTGTTGCTTACGATATGTTCATCGATTGTGGATCTTACCAGATGATTCGTTTTCTTTCTTTCCGTGAAGGGGATTGGTTCGCCGTTGATCATGATATACTGTGGTGATTTTTCAGGCTTCTTGTTCTTTATCTTCATCTTCCTTGACCACTTCTCCCT